CTTCACCACGCTAGTGAATCCAGGTTGTTCGTGAAGGGGGGGCAGCATAGACTTTGGAGCATCGGAGTACTACTGTACAACAATCGGTTTTGCTCTATGGCCCACCGCATAGCCCAGGCCGTTACCAAGCTAAAGGGAAACAGCATCGTGGTCGCATCCACAGCAACGCCCCGAGGCATTTGGCTACATCACTAGTCTTAGGAGGCTTTGAGAAGGCGCCTGGATTTTCGACTTCTTCACCTGTGATCAATCACTACTTTAAAACTGTTTTAATACAAGTTGTCAAACTGTGTTATAATACAAGTTGTCAAACTGTAGCCACGTCTGGGGGACGGGGGAAGTTCCCAGTTGCTACCCGACTCTGTCTGCCAAAATCCAACCGAGAGCAATTCACTCTTACAACGTGATTCAGTTTCTGTCCCATCATTGCTTTATTGCCATGATCCTTCCATCAAAGCCAAGTACTCCTTCTACCAGATTGACTGTTTCCTCTCACCCATGGCCCACGTTTAAACCTCCATGTCACAGGACAATTCAACATTTATATTTTTCCTTTCCTCCCATTATGCGACTTCTCTGTAACTCCCTCCCAAGTTCCTATGTTACATCCCATGTACATGTACTCGAGTTATAACCTGGTTCAACAAAATACACTTGACTTTATCCCTGTTGCCAGTCAACTCCTGGAAGAGAGGCTTCCCATGCCACGTGGATCGTGGGCATTGTTTGACAGGACCACGCTGCTCAGTGTGGGTTGGTTGAGGCGGCATCGATGTGGAAGCACAGCATCCATTTTTGGACTGGCACCGATCCAAGCATTATCCAGGCCTATACCTGTTTAGCTTCCGAGATCTGATGACATTGGATGCATTCCAGGTGGCTTGGCCGGACAGCTCCTGTAACCTCGCTCATTTCAAGACGTATTTTGTTATTGCCAGTCTAATCATTGCTGCAAAAAAATAAGCGTGCATTTCTCCACGCAAACGTTTTTTTTAATCCATCAACTCATGAGATAGTTCCAAACACACACTTAAACGTGCAGCATCAACAATACATACCGAGTTGTAACGTGGCTATTAGTCGTCTTTTTTTTCTTGCTACTCACTTCGCATTACTCGTATAGGCCTCTGTCAATATTATTTTGGAAATACAGTACTGTTGCTGCCAACGCAGCCACTCCGAGGCTTCAGACACCTGGCCTGCTCGGCGAACAAGTGACTTGGTGGAATCTGTTCCTTTGTAGCCACGATGGGAAAACATATTTTGTTTTTTATAGCTGTACAAAAAATGATTTATTAGAATTCATTCGTATCTGCTCTGTTACCCCGTCGCTCATGGAGGACAGAATTATGATCTTAAATGCTTATCTAGTGACCTTGATAAAGTGGTACATCATGACCCTGCGACTTTTACGGTGTCATGTAAGAAGTGGGGGCCAGCAGTTGAGGTCACAATGGGCAAGTTTAAATTGATTAATGTAGCCACTTTGCATTGCTTCACTCCTTCACATCGTGGCCCAGTCTGACCTCTCCGATAAAGAGTAAAATAGGTGCGGCCATAGGCCATCCCTGAAACGTCCCCTGGGGGATTGAGCACTGAGACATTACGAGTACGGACGGCGTGGAATTAACGACGACACAGAAAGGGCAGTGCAGATTTGTCTGGACAAGATTCTGGGTTTGGCCACCAAATGGATGCACTGCGATTGAGAAATGTGTTGCTTAGTGTATTGTTAAATTAAGGAAACATTTGTCACGTAATGTTCATTACAACATTGTGGTTGCCGTTGGAAAAGAGGGCATGTGTCACGTGTGGGGTTAGTTGACCCCCTGGTTAAATAAAGCATACAGACACATGTCACGATAAGGGAAGGAACAACATCGCTCACGGACTGGGGCAAATCCATTGGCGAGAGCAGACATCGGTAACCACCCAAGGTGCCATTGCGATAGTTTTTATTTATTTATAACCCACTCATATTGTACGAGTCACCACATAACCTACTGGTGTTGGCCACACAGCGGCATCGCCAAATAAAATATTACTCAAGTAATAAAGTTGCCAAACTTCAAAAAAGGAACGAGGCGGTCCTTGTAAAGTCGCCAGCAATATCACCGTACAACTTTGCTAATTACTGGTATTCATCATCATCATAAGTCATGATCAATCCACCGCTGGATGATAGACCTCCCCAATCCATCAAGAACATCTGCACACGTGGCCATTCCCATTGCTCCATCTCCCCGACTAATGTACTCTCGGATGCGTTCAATCAATTGCCTATCACTTGGTGATAATTTATTATTGTCGTTGCTCGTGAATGTAGCGAGCGCTCACACAGTGGACTCAATGCGTATCTCGGGAGTCACCCCGGCTAAACCTGCACCGGCGGCTAAGCCACTGTTCGCAGAGGAGTCCGTCCCTCGTGGTTGCCCAAACGTCCTCAACTCTCTCGCCGTGGAAACCAAATAAAGACGAAACCCCACGAGGTTGGCCCAACAACGAGTTTGAGTCGAGGACAATCCGCCTCGGGCCCCCATACCCCGCCTCTCAACCACAAATAAACACGCCGCCGTGTGGCTGATGGGATGTGTACAAACAAAATATTGCCCGCCTGGTTCAGTGTTTATATTCCCGCACGGACCGCGCACGAGAACGCGGCGACCAGCGTGCGGACGAGGGAACGCCGCCATCTGGTGGACGAGGCAGCCATCTTGTGGAGCCCGTCGTCTCGTCACCATCCAGCAGTGGCAAGCCTGGCTGCCTGGCTGCCTGCCTTACTGGCTGCTTGCCTGCCTGCCTGCCTTACTGGCTGGTTGCCTTACTGGCTGGCTGCCTGGCTGCCTGCCTTACTGGCTGATTGCCTGGCTGCCTGCCTGGCCGACTACCTGCCTGGTTGACTTCCTGGCTGGCTGCATGCCTGTTTGACTGCCTGGCTGGCTGCCTCATTGGCTGCCTGCCTGGCTGGCTGGCTGCCTGACTGCCTGGCTGGCTGCCTGCCTAGCTGGTTGCCTGGCTGACTGTCTTGCTGCCTGGCTGACTGCCTGCTTGGCTGGCTGGCTGGCTTCCTGCCTGCCTGGTTGGCTTCCTGGCTGCCTGGCTGGCTGGCTTCCTGCCTGCCTGGTTGGCTTCCTGGCTGCCTGACTGGCTGGCTGGCTGACTGGCTGCCTGGCTGGCTGGCTGCCGTTAAGACACTGAATGTCGAAACCAGCCCAGCGCGTGCTTGTGTTGAACCAATGCTGCCGAAAAGATGCACTCCCAGAAGGCCGTGAAGTTTGACGACGTGAGGTGTGTGCAATATATTTTTGTTATTCTATGTTGAGTGAGCAATAGACTTATAAAGGAGACACATTGCTTATTTATTCTTTGCCACCTTATGAGTGTAACGATACCACCGATGAAAGTTGACATGACCCAGCATCAAATCGCGTGTGTGTAAGAATAAATGTCTTTTTTAATTTGATTTACACAGCATCGTCGTTTCGTGTCCATCAGACCAACGGAGATCAACGACCACCATCTGTGGGCAACAGGTCCACAAACGCACGCACCCACGCACGGTCAGTCGTCGTGCTTGGGAGTCATCAGCTGTGCATGGGTCCCACCGGCAGGCAGACGAAGCTGATGCCGATGAGTGGTTGGAGGCATCACCGCAAGCAGCAGCAGCTCGTGATTTAAACTATAAACTATTGTTTTTTTTATTTTACCAGGCAAGGCCCACTGAGCAAAAACAGGGACTCCTCTACATACGAACGAGTTAGGTTCCAGAGGTCTGTTCGTAAGTTGATTTGTTCGCAAGTCCAACTTTACTCCTGTAGATTCCAAACACGTTATTACGGCATGTACACTAGACACGGGGAATGGCTGTAAAAGTTGTATAATCTCCAGTCGACGCAGATGCCACTGGTTCTTCACGTTCTGCAGATGTAGATGCCACCATCGTGATTTAAACTATAAACTATTGTTTTTTGATTTTACCAGGCAAGGCCCACTGAGCAAAAACAGGGACTCCTCTACATACGAACGAGTTAGGTTCCAGAGGTCTGTTCGTAAGTTGATTTGTTCGCAAGTCCAACTTTACTCCTGTAGATTCCAAACACGTTATTACGGCATGTACACTAGACACGGGGAATGGCTGTAAAAGTTGTATAATCTCCAGTCGACGCAGATGCCACTGGTTCTTCACGTTCTGCAGATGTAGATGCCACCACCGCCATCTATTGCGCGGCGGTTGAACTTACGACTCTCGGTCCGAACAGGCAACTGGACATACGGACCAGGTTTGTTCGTATCTCTGAAAGTTCGTAAGTCGAATGTTCGTAAGTAGAGGAGTCACTAGAAATCAATTTATTTTCTGATGCGACCTGGCTATCACAAATGATAGCTCAACGAAGTGGCGCATCGTTCGGAATTTATAGCAGCCAAATAATCCAAACGCACGTTGATTCTAAATGTGGAGGGGAAAACCGGAGGACCCGGAGAAAAATCCACGCAACGTCGGGGAGAACGCGCAAACTCCAAATGTGCAGTCAGGATCGAACCCACGACCTCCTTCATACCAGGCGAGAGAGTTAACATCTCTCCAGCGTGGCGTGATGTTAACAACAGCCGACACCTGCCTGCATGGAGCCAGTAAGCGTGGAATGTTGGGCCAACGTTCCATGATTATTGGGAATCCGGTTCATTTTTCATTTCAGCTCACGGAGTAAAAACCGTACAAAAGACAGAAAAAGTTTAAAATGACGATGAGATGGGACAAGTTTGTTGATAATTAAGTCGATCAATCCAGCACATACCCAACATGGTGGCACTTCATTGGATTTCTGGTGGAGTGAATCATTATCGGCCTGGCCCCTCGAGTCCTATCCACTGTACTCTAGGATCTTTCCGTCAAGTCATGTAAATACAAAATCAACAGATCACGACGTTTCGATCGCAACACAAGCAATCGCTACGGCCCAGTGACTTCAGTTTTTGAATTTGGCACGCAAAAAAATCCATAAAGTTTCACATTGCTTTTATTTAATTTTAAATTAACCTAAACACGATACATGAAGGCATGATGAACAAAGAAACAAGTTTACAATATAACACAAGAGTTTAAAACAAGACATTTTCCTGCACCAGGGGTGGGGAACATTTTCTTTTACCGAGGGCCCAAACAGGACATTCTAGCGCCTCTGGCAGGCTACACAGTCTAGCACACAAACACCTTCGTGTCATACAATGATGCAACAAAACAACCAGGGCCCACCTTTACTGCGCTGTGAGAGGTGACCGGGCAGACGGAAATGATAAACAGTTTTACGAATATATTCCCCTCTAGGACCCGATTAGAGCGGCTAAAATGCTCGCCGTGACAGATAAATATCGTTTGCTGTGCTGCTTTGAAGCGATGTGGGCACAGGCCCGAAGTCATGAAGTCGTGGGCCATATCTATTCCATGTGCCGTATCTACTCCACGTGCCGTAACTATCTCACGGGCCCGTAACTAGCCCACGGGCCATATCCAACTAGCCCACGTGCCATATGTTCTCCACTCCTTATCTAAAGGGAAGGACACTCGGTGACACGACCACTGCAGAAGGCGCATGATGTCGCCCCATCCGTCGTTTACAAGACGCCTTATTCCTCCACCTAAGGGCGAGGCCAGCGATTAAACGGCGCCCTGCGACAACGATTGCAGTGAAACGCTCTGGCAGCAGACAAAGCTCTCCACTCGAGAGATATCGCAGACTGCGGCGACATTACCACTATGAACGTGCGCATGCCCCCCTCCGTTTTATCTCGACCGCTCGGAACCCCTTGACAAATCTCGTTCGCTTCAATCCCAAGGCAGGAGCCCCAATGGCCTCTGTAATCCATTTCCCTGCAGCGTGGAATGTCCCGTGTTGCGGGTCGCTCATAGGCACATGACCAGCAGCCGCAGCCATGGCGAGCGTTTATTTGAGATCCTGGGTTCTAATCAAGGCATCCGCGGGCAAGTTAACCGGGTTCTCAAGTGCAGTGAGTTCGTGGTATCAAGCCAGTCACCAATGACCTATACAAAAACACATTAAATTAGGTTCCACACTTAATTGGTTTAAATACCAGCTCTGAGAATTAAAATATCGGTTTGTCACGCGGTGAACATTACTCCGATATGCAGAGCGTTTGGGAAAGTGCAACCCTCTACTGTGACGACGGCAGGTCACTTGGGAAAGATCCCAGAGGTAGCTCTGTAATATCCGCTTACGTGGGCCTTTCCCTCACACGGAGGACCGTATTGCTCTGCTCGAATTCCGAATGGGATACCTCGTCCCGCGACGCGATGCCGATAGCGCGATCGGGATAAAATTGCGAAAGAAAAAATAGATAATTCCGCGAATAACGAAGGCGCTTGTGATTATTACAGCAGGTGGCAGACTCCGGACTTTCTCCCCACGTCGCCGTTCACCCCGTCACCGCGATCGCCCTCGGTGGCGCCGTCATCGTTGACCTCTTCGAAGAGGCCCATCTCGATCATCTCCTCCTGCCACGCGAGGGGCACGGGGCCCGTGGCAAAGCGCGCGTAGAAGCCACGGTCTTTGTCGTCCAGCTCCACGCCCTTGGTCTCCGAGAAGTCCTGGATGTCGCCCACGTCCTTGGCATAGACGATGCCGGGGTCTGGCACGAAGGGCGGGTCACCGAGCCCAGCCTCCAGCCGCTGGAAGTTGACGGTGCGGAAGAAGTCGTGACGCCGGGGATCGTCATCGGGGCCTCTGTGAAATCATCGTTTCTCGTTAAAGGGAGGTGTAGTAAAAAAAAGACATCAGTGGTTCCATCTCTTGTAGCTAGATGTCTGAGCTATCCCACGCGAGTTTGAGACTACGTTGTTTATTGATATAAAAAAAAAATACTTGAAAATCACAGCCTAGTGCCGTGGGAGTTACCAGAGTCTGCACAGCAGCGTCTCGATATGCGGTTGCATTCAGGCGTTATGTAAATCCAAATTGTATTGTGTTATTATTAGTCCGACAATCTGCACTAGACAACAATGGAGATATCACCTCCTCTTCCCTTGAAGGCAAGGGCAAGGGAGGGATAGGGTCTGTTCTCTCTGGTTCTCTCGGGATGCTAGAGGGAGGGGTAGTTTAGAGGGCTGTACAGAAAATGCTCGTGAAATTCCACAGGGAACGATTGTAGTTGGATATGAAATGCCATTTTTTAAAAAAGAATGAAAAGAAAATACTAGTCAGATTGCAAATCTAGGAGCGCGGTAATCACTTCCACTCCACCAGCCAATCATCTACCGGGAATATAACCGCATGCAACATGGAAACTCGGAGGAGAGAACACCGCACAGACGAGACTGCGACGATACGGACACACGCTGGGGGACCGAGAGGGTCAGATTTGCCAAGACGTCCGCCACCTGCAGCCCAGCCGCTCCTGCGCCTTCTTGGCCAGCATGAGGGTGCACAGGTCACGTGACTGGTCCGTGAAGGCCGGGTGGCTGAACACGACCGCGTCCTCCAGGGTGCGGCGGCGCACCTCCTCCTTGGACACCTTCTCGCGGTAGTCCTTGAACGGTGCCCGCCCGCAGATCATCTCGTAGACGGTGCAGCCCGTGGCGAACCAGTCGGCGTCGAACGCGTACGGCTCCTCCAGCACCACCTCGGGCGACATGTAGCCGTTGGTGCCGGCCTGCAGCATGAGCCCACGTGCAGACGCGTATAGGGAGACGCACGGACACATGGATTATTGTCACGCCGAACTCTCGCCGTTTCCCCGGTTCCCACGTGTACGCACCGCAGCAGAAATGAATTTGAGGCCGAGGCGAATTCGGCCAGTGTTATTGTGTCGTGAGCGGGAATCGAACTCGGGTGGCCAGGCATGCTGCGCGAGGCGCGCATCGCCGGCACCGCCGCTCCCCCCGGCGCAACGACACACAACCCAGCCACCCTTCCGCACTGGCACCCATCCACACCACCCACACACACCCCACACACATCCACACACACTCCACACACACCCCACACACATCCACACACACCCCACACACATCCACACACATATCCACGCACGAGCGACGCACGCACACGCCCGCAAGGCCCGCACCGCCGCGCGGACCGACGAACCCTCTGGCGGATGGTCTCCTGGCCGTCTGCTAGGACCACGGCGAGGCCCAGGTCGGACAGGCGGCAGTGCCCGCGCTCGTCCAGCAGCACGTTCTCGGGCTTCATGTCGCGGTAGACGATGCGCGCCGTGTGCAGGTGCTGCAGGCCGCACGTGATCTGCGCCGCGTAGAAGAGCGTGCGCGCCGGCGACAGCCCCCGCTCGCCCATCTCGTAGATGTGGTACTTGAGGTCTCCGCCGTTCATCAGGCTCATCACCTGGGGGACGGGCGTCGCGGGTCGTTACCGACCGCGGAGGGGACGGGGGGATCGTAGGTTCGTCGGCTGGGAAACGTGGCCGTAGATCGTCGCCCGCAGTGCGGGGCACAGGGCCGTTAGGCTGAGAGACGGGGTCATAAGTCACCACCCGTTGCGCGAGGTCGCAGGTCGTTACCCAGGAGACGGTGTCGCAGGTCGACAACCCGTGTGGCGGTGTTACAGCTTGTCACCTGGGAGACGGGGTCACAGGTCGTTACCGGGGAAATGGCGGTCATGGGTCTTCACCTGCGGCGATCAGCTAGGAGGCGGGAGTCGCAAGTCCTGACCTGGGAGACGGGGGTCACGGTCTGCCGCCCGACGCGTCGCGCGGGTCGCGGGCGGCGGCGGCCGCCGTAGGTCGGTGCTCACCAGGCAGAGGTGCGTCTTGGTTTGGTAGGCGTAGGCGAGCCGCACCACGAAGGGGCTGTTGACGCTCTCCAGGATCTCCTTCTCCAGCAGCGCCATCTGCTCGCCGCGTTTCTTCTTCAGCCGCTTCTTGTCCAGCTTCTTGCACGCGTACATCTTGCCCGACAGCTTGCCCTGGATGGCACACACCTGGGGGAGAGCGAGCCGGCGAGGCAGGATGAGCAATATTGTCGCCGTGGTGGTCGCGTGGATTTTTCTCCGGGTCCTCCGGTTTTTCCCTCCACATTTAGAATCAGCGTGCGTTTAGAGTAGTTGGCTGCTATACATTTCAACACGATCAGGCGCTTTGTGATCATTTCTGGCCAGGTCGCTTCTGTTAAAGAGCTGTACAGCTCAGTGGGCCTTACCCCTTAAATTAAAAAAAAGTTTTATGGTTTAGTTTATTAGCAACGCGAGGAGGGCCGGGCCCTCTGATAATTATTTGAGTGAAGCGACGACTCTGCCAACTACCGGTTCGATTACTCGATTACACTCCAGGGAAATGTATTATTCAACGATTCGCGTTTGTGCAATATATTCCATTTCTCACGAGAGACACAGTTGTTTTCGCTCCGATTTTCGATGAGCTTAATTGCTGTATTTCTTATTTGATTTATTTGACTTTGGTCATATCGTGTTACCCCAGGTGACCCTGGCAAATGAGACCCCTTTTCGAGTTCTCACCTTGGTTAAGCAAAATCAACTTGATTCCTGACCAATCGGAACAACATGTAAGGAGTTGGGAGGGAAAAAAAAGGTAATCACTGCCGTTCCCTGGTGTGACGCTGGACGGGAGGTGACGGATTGCGGGGGGGGGGGGGGGGGGGCGGTTTGTGAGATCACGATGGTGGATGTGGCTCGGTAACGGCGGGGGCCCGAGTGATAAAGCACAAGAAAAAAACAAGGAGCAAACGAGGACGTTTCAGCCAATTGACGAGAACCAGTCTGAATGAGAAGAGGGATCACGTGACACTGTCAACTGGATCCTGGTCAATTCTGGCAAACCAAAAAAAAACGATTCATGATGGCTTAGAGCCCTTAAATCCACTGCTGCTGCTGGATGAAGGCACTCCCCATACCGTTTCGCTTCACGAGGAGGGAGGGGGGTGGGCGGTTTTCGACCGTACTTCGCCAAGCCGGTCAACCGCGGGGTTGGTAAAAAGGTGTGGCCAACCGCTCGTCAAAGTGTCGGATACATTTCGGCCGCTGATGGTGGGCGTGACCAGAGCAATGTAACTCGGGTCGCCAGGTTTATCGCGAGTGGCGCTAATCGCTGCGCCGCCACTCCTATGCGGCGCGCGCATATAAGGAATGGTAAGAGGCACTGTAACATTTGCGAGCGCCGCCTTTGATCGCGCCGTGTTTTATTTACGGAGCGGACGCCGATATCATGGCATTCACCCTCTTGTGATCAGTGCACAAAGGCTCGATTCAGAACGCAGCGTGCGCAATTTTGTCTTTTTGGCGTTTCGTTACGGACATCTTTTGAGAACCCGGCGCAGATTAGCCTGGATTATATTTCATTATTATTGTAATCTCGAGCAAAATCCGTAACATGAAATCCAGGCGGGAATCGGTTTAGATCCAATGTCGCCGTTTCACATGCAGGACCTGAAAAATGCAAGCCATGAGGACGCCGTGAGAATGGCAGAAAATGTTTTGTATCTGTTTAACATGGCCGCTGTTTAACATTCAGGGCAATGTCAATACATTTTAAAACACAGTTGATGTGCAGAGATTATCAACATTGCAACTAGGCTCAAGCGCCGATTAATGACGTCCGTGGTAACCATAGCCGATGATGTTGGTGAATATGACGGTAATGTAACTGCTGATACTGTTGCTGCTTCTCGTGCTGGTGGCGACGATGGGAGGCTAATAATGAAAATGACATCGTCGCTGCTGCTGCTGCTGCTGCTTCTAATGATGACGACAATGCGCGCCGACGGCGGCGGCGGCGGCGAGGAGCGGCGTCTCCATACCTCCCCGAAGCCGCCCTTGCCGAGCGTGCGGAACTCGTAGAAGGAGCGCTCGCTCACTGGCTGCCTCTCCAGCACCTTCCACTGCAGCAACCTGTCGAAGAAGGGGCTCGCCAGGAACTCCCGGAAGGGCTGCCCCACCAAGAAGAGGCGCGCCTCCTCGCGGGCGCGACGCACCAGCTCCTCGGCCTCCCGGCCACCGGCGGAAGCCACCGCAGCCGCCAGCTCGGCGCTCAGGAACGTCAGGGAGCGCTCGGAGTCCGCGCGCAGGAACGCCGCCACCGTCGCTCCCGCGAGGCCCTCGCGGGCGCCGTCCTCCGACAGCTGGACCTGCTCCGCCTCGTCCAGGAATTCGACGGCGCGAGCGTACTCCGGCACCCCGCCGGCGAACTGGCGGAACAGCCGGCGCCCGACGGGCTGCTCCTCGCACAGCCCCGCGTAGGTCTGCGTGCCGGCCACCTTGGTCCTCATGTCGGCGCACTGGGCTCCCCGCGGCCCCGGCAGCACCATGCTGCACCGTCGCTTCTTCCCGCTGCCGCCGGCGCCGTCGCCACTCTTGCGCGCCTCCAGGTAAGCCGTGTTGGCGATCAGGTTGTCGAGGGCGCCCAAGTCGCACATGGTGGCGGTGGCGGTGACGACGGCGGTGGTGGTGGTGGCGGTGGCGGGAACGTCGCTCTGCCTCCTCCTCCGGCTGTGTACGCCGCTCAGGTGTGGCTTTATTTTTTAATTTTCAGATGCGCCGCTAAGCCGTGCGCACGGGAAAGGAAAACGAGGTCAGGCTCCCTGCAAAACCACCCACCTCCACCCCCCCGCTCCTCAAAAATGAATCAAAGCGACCGGAGTGGCAATTACGACTTGCACAACGAGGAGCTATTATCTGCGACGAGAGGACCGGCTCTTGACTCTCGGGAGGGAGACGTCACCGGCATCGGATTTATCTCCGTCAAGTCCCGCGCTCGATCGCCAGCGCTGCGGCAACGAGCTGCCGTGCTGCGGCGCCGCTTAATACCCGCTTTGCCACGCCGCTCTAAGTCCATCTCCTCGGCACAGCCTAAGACGGAACTTTGCAAGCCTCGGCACAAAAACGGCTTAAGGGCCCGCGACCGTGACGGTGAAAGTGACGGTGACGGTGGCAGTGACGGCGGCGTCTGCACGGCCACGACGGGTGCTCCCTGACACCTCAACCGCGGGCGTCATCTCCTCCGCCACGCAGGCGTGCGCCACATTCCCGCGACGCAAACCGCCGCCGCGTCGCCGCGCCGGGCAAGCGCGGCGGCGGCGCACGCCCGCGCCGCAGAGCCGCCGGCGGCGGTGCTCTAGACGGAGCGACGAGATCGGCTCGTGCGCCGGAGCGCCGGGTGGATCAGTGCATCGCGGGACCGTGGAGGGACGGCCGACGGCTTGTGGTGGCCTTCGTCCAGCAGTGGATTGTGCCCTGGCTGAGGACGGTTGTGTTTATGCGAGCGCTGCAAGCTCGGCGGTTGGATGTTTTCCCTGCCGCTGTCACCGGGTGTTATTTCGCCGCGCGCTGCGATTTGCCGACGCTGTGGGGCTGCCAAGCGGGGCCCTCATTTGTGAGGGCCCTGATTTGTGAAGGCCCCGGAGGAGGCCCGGGGGGACCTCCTCACCGCTGGAGATTCTTTGGAGAAGCTGGGGACAACAGAGCTCTCCTCTTTCCACCACAAAAACCGGGTCGTCAATGCCCAATCAACGTTTCCCTTTGCACGTTCACCAATTCAACCGGGACAATCGAATCCCGAGTTGTCTTCTCGAGATAGGTGCACGACAGAGAAGTTTTAAAGAGGATCCGAGTGGCCGAGTACTTCAAACTAAAATGTATAAAATATGATTAAACGTGCTATCGGCGTCACATCACGAGAGCAAGAATACATTTGGACCTCTCGCGGTGCGGTACGACCCTTTGCGTTAGAGAACGGCCCCAAGAAGTGGATATCACAGAGCATCCTCCGAGATCCCTTCAAGCAAAAAATGTTCACCGAATACAGGGGCAGCACTTACCCACCCGCGCGACACGTGAGAGTGATGTTCACCACACCACATTCAATTCATTCTCAGAACCGGATTGCGACCAAATTAAGTGCAGAAGCTATATTTTTTACGTGATTAGCTTTTTTATGTTTTGCGCAGTCTTTGGTTACCAGGCCGAGACCGTCAACGCACTGTACTCGAGGAACCGGTTGAATCACACGGGCAGCCGCCTGGATTCGAAAGCAGGATCTCGGCACCCTGACCTCCGAGCCGTCGGCCACGTCGAGAAGCCTCAGGAGGGAGGCGCCCAATGGCGGAGCGCCGTCGCCTCCCACGGCCAAACTTTACCACTGGCCACAGCCTCGACGCCGCTACTCCGTAGGACGCGGAGTAGCCTGTCCGTTGCCTCCCCAGCCACGTGCGCACCGACTCACCCCGCCGCTCTTGCGAGCGAGACTATCTCTGGCCTCTTGCGGTCTCATAAAACCAAGCCGACTCGGCGCTTCTGGGTGCACCGTGGGAGTGTTCCCCAAGGGCACGTGGGGCCATGGCGGGCGGTGGGCCGATGGTCGTCGGGGACGCCGGCTGACCCGCACGAGAGCCTGAAGGGCCACGGAAAAGGACTTCATTTCGAGCTGTAGGTTGGGTGGGCAGGAGAAGTCACGGCAAGAGGTTAGACGCCGCTCACTCCCAATTGTAACGGGCTGCACGAAGTGCGTTATCTAAGCAGGGTTGAGCTTGGATAGGGCCTGGATGGGCGACCACAACTCGTGACAGGCGTTACAGGCCGCGGGGCTACATGGAGCACACAAGTGTTTATCAGCCCGCACCGGGGGGCAGCGTGGCCAATCGGGGTCAAACCAACCCCACGACTCGCACGGCGGTGGAGCGTGGAGGCGCTCGCACCCAGCGGTGGCTTGACAAGACGACGGCTGTGCGTGTACATTACGTAACGGTGAATCCCCCCGCGCGTCGGAGTTGAGCAGGCATGTGCCCCGTGCGCCGACACGCCCGTCCACCTCTGTGCGATCCGAGCTGCTCGCGTGGGCTCTCTCGCCCCGCTCGGCGTGTCGCTGCGCCAGAGATAAAAGTGCCGAGGCGGCGCGACCCGCTGGGCTGCAGACAGCGATGGCGGCCCCGAAGATTACGCAGCCGACTGCCGCGAAATCCGCTTAGCCACGGCCGCTCGCCAAAAACGCACGGCACCGCGTCCCCGCCACCCTTGAGCCGCCGCTGCTGTCGCCGTGGTAAGCGGCACACGGCGCGGCATTCAAGGACACGCCGGCACAAAGAGAAAGGTTCCCAACCCCCCCCGCCCCCCTGCGTAGCCTACATGGGCCTTGGGTGCCGTTAGCACCACACCCAACCTTTTGTATGAAACCCAGGGCTGATGTTTGCGCACCGCACCACCTATTCATTTGATGCCGAGTCGACCTAGGATAACCACAGGATCGGTTTAGATATTCGACACAAATGTTACCCGTGGTGGGAAATGGAACACAGGTTGTCGGGGTCATAGCGCAGTGTGCTCACCACTTCGCAAGACAGACAAGAACAAACACGCACGTACACTAACAATAAATACTGTGTAGCAGCGTGGCTCTGCTTCAGATGACAATCCGAGCAAGGGTCCTATCAGGTGAGGAGACCTGGGTCATGGTCAGGAGCTCCCATTTTGGCAGCCTGTAATTTACATTGCGCGAGATGAACACATCTCTCACAAACACACACTGCCAAAGCTCATATCAGTTAAAGAAGAATATATTAGGTGCCAGTAACATAGCTGCACTAGTTTACCAAGCGAGACTTCGAAATGTTATTATGTTTTTAAATTCCTTTACCCTTCAACTTCCAGAAAGTTCGCCATTCGCATGGCCAGTTTCCAATCGCGTTCGATTTCCGGTGACGGCTAAACTTCACGACGGGCGATATCCGAACCAGCCCGTGCCCCTCTGCCCTTCACCAATCCACAAGGTCAAACAAGCAGCGTTGGTGACGGCGCGGGGAGGCCCTTCATGCAACGGTGGACGTAAAAAGTGGTGAACGACAATAATCATTGCCACGCAATTTTTCCTTTCCTGTAAATCGCCGCGTTTGATTGAAGTACGTTGTACGTACGAAAGTATGTTCAACTTATTTCGCACTGTACGTAGCCAACCGTGCTAAATCGGGAGGTGCGATTGGGATGCGGATCGCTGACCGATTCGCTCACCACGTCACACACAAGAAACCATTTCCACGCTCCACACGGGAGACTGCGACACGGGAGGGGGGGGGGGGCGGAGGAGGAAAAAGCTCATCTTAAACGTTTATTTTCGTCGACGCAAATATTCTGCACACACGGTGACACGCAGCTTCACAAACGCTCCAGAAAAATCGCCGAATCCATCCTGGACCAAGAACATCCACCCTTGTATCGCGCTCCCTCACGGCGGCCCCCTCTCCAAGCCAGCCCCAATCACCCAGACGGCATTACGACGCATCAGCTCGTCACAAAAACACAAACCCTCAACAAGCGTCCCAACGTGCGCAAACGGCGGCCCGTTTAACCACTCCGATGGCGTTGTCGAGTGTCACCGCGTGCTGTCCGGCACGATGTCCGAGGTTTCGCTCAAGATGCGGGGAATTGCGTCAGGGGCCGAAGAAGCTCCCGGCACGTGCAGCGAAACGTCGGGACGTCGCGCCGAACGACACGCGGTACAACAGGGTGACGCGTCGGAGAGATACGCAGGACAACCGCGAAACCTACACAGTAGTAACAGCCTCTTTTCTTACAAGATTGCTCGGACAAGCTCACACACAACAGCACGCTCTAATACTGTGCACAAAACCGTGGGATTGGCAGCAATCACTTGGCCATGACAATCGCGATTCTGTTCGGCCACCGACCTCCCAGAAAACAAAACCAGACATGCACAGACGCTCTTCCAGGCGTATCCTGCTTGCACACGCCACGTGACCACTCTCATGCAGGGGAATGGCTTGTGGCAGAATCGAGGACGTAGAAATTGCAACGGTTCTGTTCCACCACGCTCGTTAAGCCCGGGGGGGAGGGGGGGGGGGTCTTGGGTTGGGGGGGGGGGTGACGTGGAAACAAACGACGGCGAGAGGAGCTTTGTTTTAGCGCGCCAATCCGATTACGCCGACGGTTTTATTTTTTACATATGTTTAGCAATTTATGCGAGAGATTAAGACGGGGCCCCGTAAGTAGTCTGCCGAGCATGGCTCGGCCTCGTTTGTAAGTGCCCACCACCCAAGGTACATGACTGCGTGCGGGCAAGGGGAAGGCCGCAGAGAGTCGACAAGAACTTGTATTGACTGGGTCTCTTGAGGCGAGCGCTGTTGCCGCAAAGCAGTGAACCGGCGAGGGCCTCTGGAGAGCGGCCCAACAGCACGCGCGCCCACCTAGCCGGGTGGTGGAGGCAACGGCAGCCGCCCAGGAAACTGGGTGAACAGCGGGTGTGCGTGTGGTTCAATGGTTGGGATCGCAATTAAAATAACCTCGTCTCTTTTGTTTATTTTGTGCCGTGTCTCATTCGATTTTTTGTCACATTTGTAAAAAAAAAACAAGTTTCACTACCACAGCCTAAATGCAACATTTTCCTGTAATTTGCGTAAATCGTGAGTAACCGATTGGCACGCACACGATGCCGATGCGTGCACCGCTGGAGTGAGAATCGATTTTAAATCTACGAGTCGTGCCAGTGCGCAGCGTGCCACTACGCTTCACTCCCTAAGACAGCCGCCCCACGCCGCGCTGACAAATCCACCGACAGAAAGCAGCGGTTCTACGGAGAGACATTCCGCGCACGGCCCTGTGAGAAGCCACTGCACGCGCTCCAACGAGACAAATCCACGGGGCCGAGTAAGCGGAACGCGGGGAGCCGATGCCCACACTCCTTGACCCCCCTCCCCCCCCACCCGTATGCAGCAAGCGGCGTGCCAACACGTGCAGCATGCAGACGGCTGCCCGGAAAATTCACAGCCCACACTCCCAAACGTGCCCACGCACGCCACGCCACCGGCAATCGCTCCTTCCGGTTTATTCTTCAACTCCGCGATGGCCTGAGAGATTTCCCCCCCCCCCCCCCCCCCCCACCAACGCCTTGGAGCCCTACCCACGAGCACGGCGCGCAATCTCCGTGTCGGGGTGGGGGCGGCTCCTCCTCCTGCTCGTCCTCCTCCTGCTCGTCCTCCTCCTGCTCGTCCTCGCGTCCACGCGTGGCGACGATGCCCGGGGGCATCATTTGCCTATTCTCTGCACCACCCAGTCCTGCTGGCACAGCGGGCAGCGGTTGTTCTGCTTGACCCAGAGCGACATGCAGCAGTTGTGGAACGAGTGGTTACACTCGCCCCACACCACTGCGCGAGAGGGAGAGAGGGAGAGGGCGGTGTGAGCGTGCACCCCGGCCTCGCGTTGTGTCCTGCACACACGTCACGCTCGAGAGGCCGCAGTGCACGGTGGGTGTGGGGGGGTAGCCTAGGCACCCTCCTCGCCGACAACTGTGGTCAGCAAATGCATGTACGAAACGTCGTACTCAGATTGTAAATGTTGTGGCTTTGCTCTCTCGAACACACCGGTGCTGCTGTACCAGTGACGAATTGGCCACGTTCTGTTTACGTGACAAACCTTACTAATTGGTCGTGTCGGGTTTAACGACGCATTTATATATTTACGCGATCTAACAAACAAAAAAACCTGTATTATGGGTTATACATTCATGTGTGTCGAACTTTTTTCGCACCGTACGTAGCCAACCGTGCTAATCGGAGGTGCGGGGGATGGACAACACACTAAAACGCAAAAAGCCGTCCTGAAGAAACCAGTTATCAATCTAGAATCATTTAAAAGTGCATAGCTCCGGTGGCTTCATAATATCGGCAGGAGGAGCGTTCCAGACGGCCGCAGAAGCGAATCCGAAACGCGCCGCGCGTCGCACAACCTCGTCGCGTCGTCCGGTAACCGTGCCGAGCCACGAGGGGCGATTTGAGCACGCGAGAGCTCCCCCCGGTGCAACGGGCCAAGGAACAGCGACATCTGTTTTCAGGGTCGGACAAAATTGAAAAAATAAAATTCTCCCGCCGTGCCCGATGAGTGCGGGGAGCGACGGGAGACGACGCGGAGCGTGGCCAGACCCCGCGGGGTCACCGGTCCCCCGGCACCCCACCAGATTGTGACGACACGGCCCAGCCCCAGGGTGGCGGCGGCGGCGGCGGCTCTTACCCACACAGTCCTCCTGCTTGCTCTCCGCTTGGCACCGCAAGCACGCGTCTGTGGGAGAAGGGGGGGGGCGTAGGACAAACCTCGGGGTCAATGTCGTCTGTGGTCGGAGCATTCGGGGAGACGGCAAGGAGAATGCTTCAGGTTTATGCAGGGCGCTTCAAAAAAACGTTAACACTTAGTGAAAAAAAGGAATAATGCACTTGAACACGATAGCAAATGTGATGTTAATAGCTTCAAGAAGCCAAAGAGTGTCCCCCTCCACTTGTTCGCCACCATTGTCAACGAGTGCCTGGATCTTCTCCAGGTGGTCCCCAGACTCCGCAGGCAGCAGCACCTCTGGCGGGCGCCGTTGCAGATTCTCGGGAGTGTTAACATTGTTTTGAAGCACCCTGCAAGCACCCGCGTCCCACCGCTCTCCCCGCTGGTGTTGCCCAGCTAGGGCCGGTGCCGCTTCTCGGTTAAAGCTCCGCGAGAGGCCGGGGAGAAGCCGCCTGATGAAGGGGACCCCCACGATGAAGGGGACCCCCCCTGGTGAAGGGGACCCCCCCTGGTGAAGGGGACCCCCCCGGGGACCCCCCCCAGGGGCTCAGAGAGAGGGGGGGGGGTAGATCTGGTGGGGGGAAGATCGGGGCCAAGGCGGACTCGGTGTGGTAACGAGGAGTAAATGGCGAGCTGTTTTTTGGGTCGAGGAGTGCCGTGGGGAGGCGACGATCCCGTGGCGTGCAGGCGACCCGGGGCCGAGAGGAACTGGGGGCCGAGCTGGGGGCTTGGTGAGCGGGAGGGGGGTGCTGAAGGGAGAGGGCGAGGGAGAGGGGAGAGGAGCGAGGGGAGAGGAGGAGCGGGTCGGCAGAAGCTGCGGCGGCGGCTGGGTTCGAGTCAAAGGGAGAGAGCTGCGAATCGTGCAGCAGGAGCAGGATGGGGCGAGGTGGTGCAGCATAAGATGGGGTGAGGTGGTGCAGCAGTAGGAGCAGCAGGAGGAGGAGATGGGGCGAGGTGGTGCAGCAGGAGGATGATGGGGCGAGGTGGTGGTGCAGCAGGAGGAGCAGCAGCAGGAGGAGCGAGCGAGCGACTGAGCGCGGCCCACTCGAGGCTCCTCACCCATGACCTGGACGCGGCAGATGGCGCACGTGTCGCACTCCACGTCCCAGCTCCACATGGCCACGGCGTTCCACTTCTTGAGGGAGAACATTCGCTCGGGCCCGGCCCGCTGCGGACCCACGGGGCCCGCGGGGCCCGCCGGGTCCCTCACGGGCGGCGCCGCCGCCGCCTCGGCCTCGTCACCCTCGGCGTCCGCCATCCCTCGGCTGCTGCTGCTGCTGCCGGCACAGACGCCACGGGCCAGCGAGGGGGCAGTAGAGAGGGAGGGCAGCGGAGAATTTCCGTGATTGTTTTTTTCTGCAGTGGCGGTGTCTTCTCACACCGCCCCCACCGCACTCCCGGAGTGATGATTCTCCTCCGTCTTCGGCACGAGGCCTCTCCTCGTCAGTCCGCTCCGACTCAACAAAGGTGGTGCTGCTGCTGCTGTGTCGGGTGGAGGAGGGCTTACGACAACACGACGTTGTTTTTTTCTCTCGTGCGATGTCACCCGGCCATCTGTTGTGATGCATCACAGGAACCGCGTGTTGAATCTCATCCGCTCCGGCCTCTCTCTATGCGCTATTAGGAGCATTGCCTGAAACGTCGTTCGTTGTAAATGTTTCCTGTTAAGCGCACACCGCTGTGACCTCCTAACGTGGTTTTGTGTCTTGTTCTAACGCTCTGACCCGCCTTTACTTGACATCTGTGGATAAGAGCTTTATAGCTCATCGGATTCCTCCAGTTTCAATACAGATTCTCATTCTGTTGAACGTTTTGAGTTGTTTTGTCGGTGTTCGTGCTGCCAACTCATAGCAACAACAACAACATTAAGCAGACACCATGCCCCTTACCATGACTGTCCTTCCACGTTACACAAACTAAAAGTACCCTATGTATTACACAGACCATCAGCAACAGCATTCTGCAAGTGCATAATTTCAATCTCAATGTAGATTGAAAACTCATTTCTTGTGTTTAGTTTCTTGTCTACGCACGGTGCGAAAGAAGTTCAATATACATCATTGATTCAATATGAGCAAACTCTGGTTTGGTTTCGATATTCATTCTCTGACCAGCAGATTCAGTGTTGCATGAACCGATGACGGTGAACTTGTTCAAAGCTGGTCAATCTATCAGCTGTGCAATAGCGATATTGTTTATGCCCCAAACGTCCCCTATTATATCGTTCTCAGTGTTATTGGCGAATGTGTTGAGAGAGTAGAATAGGACAGCAGACAGCGTAGGGTGGGTGGGTGTAGGGTGGGTGGGTGTGGAGTGGGTGGGTGTAGGGTGGGTGGGTGTAGGGTGGGTGGGTGTGGGGTGGGTATGGGGTGGGTGGGTGTAGGGTGGATGGGTGTGGAGTGGGTGGGTGTAGGGTGGGTGGGTGTAGGGTGGGTGGGTATGGGGTGGGTGTAGGGTGGATGGGTGTGGAGTGGGTGGGTGTCGGGTGGGTGGGTGTCGGGTGGGTGTAGGGTGGGTGGGTGTCGGGTGGGTGGGTGTCGGGTGGGTGGGTGTGGGGTGGGTGGGTGTAGGGTGGGTGGGTGTAGGTGGGCAGCATCAAGACGAAAATTAGTGGGTGGGAGGAAAGATAGTGTAGGGAGCTATGGTGGGGGGGACGGGGGGTGAAGCATGAGGAGTAGATGGGGGTTATTGGGGGCTGTCGAGGTTAGCAAAGAGGGCCAGTAGGGGGAGCAAGAGGCACGGGCTATGTCAACTTTTGTCACGGTCTAAAGAAAAAAAAAGGTGACAGAAACGCCTCTGTGGTGACTGTGATTGTCACTGTGTGGTGCCGGGCTTACGAAGTCACGGCGGATAATGCGTTGGCATTATGTGTTAGCCCCTTACTGGGCGTAGTACCACCGGCCCTAGCGGGACTTGGGTGAGCGCTGGTCAGCACGGAGGCACCACGTACGGTGTGCGGTGCGGGCTCCCGGTGAGGGAGCGTCAGCCAGCCAGGGTTACGTTGGGGCAATGTCTACTTCTGCCGTAGCGTGGCTAGATGGATCATTCAACACCCAAGTGAAGGTTGTGTTATGTTATGATGTTGAGTTACTGAATAAATAGTGTTGCTCCCAAGACAACGTCAGTTGGACTCATTACACTTCACCGTGCTAATGATGGGGCGTTTTGGACATGTACAAAATAATGTGTTTATTGTGAGAATAGGTTTTTTCCCATTTTATCTGGCAACAAAACAAGTGTTAAGTTTTTATTTAAAGCTTTCGTGACTATAGGGATTCCTATTCATGGTTCTTTCGGTAAAGTAACGTAGAAGGGAAACATTAAAATAATAAAAATATGAAACAATAAAATTATCACGACGTTTCAACTGCAACACAAGCAATCATCATCAGGTGTGAAAACCACAGCAAGAAAATTTGAAAAAAGTGGCGGGTTTTTAACGATGTGGTTTTCACACCTGATGATGATTGCTTGTGTTGCAGTCGAAACGTCGTGAGAATTTTATTGTTTTACATTTTTATTATTTTATTGTTTCCCTTCTACGTTACTTTACCGAAAGAACCAAGAATATAAGTGTTACGTTGTTAAAACACCAAACTGAAACCTTTTACAAGGAGTCATGTCTGGATTAACCACAATACCTGTGATCAAAATGCAAACAAAAAACATACTCTGATAATATATGCATTGTCTTTGAAACTGATTGGTACAGCACGAAGACAATGCACTATCAGAGTAATGAGAGCTCGGGGTGAGCAGGAAAACCTTTTTCCTAAGCAGCTCTCTCACTATATTTTTTCACCTGATAACGATTGCTTTATCAGGTGAAAAAACGTCGTGATATTTTTGTAATTGTTTTTCTATCTACGTGGCTTTACCAAAAGACCCAAAGAATATGAATTCCTGCAGTCACAAAAGCTTTAAGTCAAGATTTAACCTAACACCTGCTTTGTTGCCAGATAAAATGGGAAAAAGATATTCTCAGATTATGGTACTGGCAGAGGAGGTCCCATGATGTAAATGTGTTTATTGTTGCATTAATTCATTTGTAGACAGGTTCGGTATATCACAGCAGGGCGATAACAATTTAGCACTTGTAAGGGGTGGAACACGATTTTAATCGTACTCAACGTAAACAAAAAAGCTCTTTTATTATGTATAGATTTTCCCTCCCCAAGCGGGGAGGTGCACCATTCCCGGAGGTACTGCAATACCGGGTTGATGCGCGGAGTGGACGGAGCAAGCCCCTATTCCATCTCCCTGTCCCAAAAATCAATTTAATATAAGGTACCACAATGTGGTACGTATCAGATATTAAACTGATAAGAACAGATACTACACTTGATCTTAGCCAAAAGGCCGAGAAGCGATAGCTTAAAGCTGTCGGTGGTGGGTTACACATACCTACAAAGACTCTCTCTACGCTATGGGGTCAAACCATGATTATCAGAAAACAGCTATCATCACATGTAATACATCCAACTACGCGGAACAATTAAATATCGTAAATAACTTGACGGAAAATTTGGGAACTGGAAATCTGTTTGCATGAAAAATGTATAAGAATGTTGTAGTTAGAATCCCGCGCAATGGCCTATGGGAATTATGTCATTACGGCCATATCGACTTGCGCCACTTGGTGGCGTGTTACCCATGTGAGTGTGTGAATGTTTATAATCGATTCTCATGTTCAAGATCATTAATCTAAGCACTTTATATTTTCATGAATGATCCTACTTACACAACACGTGTTTTATAATAAGTACAGTACAGCATATTGTTAGAATCCCGCGCAATTACTTATGGGAAGATGCCAAAAGTTATCTATGGGTCGTATCGTGGTGAATTCAAAACGGATACATTACATGTAACACAATCTTAATTCTGGTTTTAAAACGTTGTATACAGATTTACATTATATTGTATATTTAAATTCGGACATCTGATTTTCATACCGAAAATATATAATTACATATAAATATTAGCACCCCGCGCAAACGCTCATTGGCATTAGTCGGTACCGCCTTGCACCACGTGGCGGCATTGCTGTACACACCTGTGGGCGTGATAAGTCCTGGACTAAGTTCTAAATAGATATTTTCATAAATTATCCGTTTTACGGTCAAGTAAAACATCTTGCGATGCGGTCACATTTAAAAGCTTCGAAAATGCAAGTCGTATGTAATTGTGACTTATTTTCCCCAACCTTGTGTGTCGCTATACCAAGGCCGTAGCCATGGAGTCACTATGGGGGGGGGGGGGGTGTGACCAAATCTTCCAGGGAGTCTGGGGATCCCGCCCCAGAAAAAAATATCTACATTTTTAAACTCATTTCCTGCCATTTCCTGCCTAAAATATAAAAAATTCACTACCACATAGGATGGACTTTTTTTTTTACAATAATGTCTAATAGCGTATTGTATAACATTGCTCTGTTTTTACTTTTTTTACCATTTCCTGTTTCATTGTATGTGTAGTGGATTCGAATTAGGTGCACACACAACTTCTTGGGAGGCAACACTTATTTATTAATGAACACAACAGTTAACTCTTACATTACGCTTAGGGTGGTGACCACCGACTTACTCTAGCTAACACACGCTTCTCAGATACTCTAGGGAGGTACAGCCTCCTGTCTTGGCGGGACTCACACGTCTACCGCTATCCTAGAGTCCTCCGGCTGGGACCTACACACAGATCTCTTGCTAACCTAAGGAGGTACAGCCTCCTGTCTTGGTGGGACTTACTTACACGTCTACCGCTATCCTAGAGTCATCTGGCTGGGACCTACACACGGATATCTTCTTGGCGTCTTCATGATGCATCTTCATTCTTAATACGGGCAGCCTCGAACCTCGTGAAGAGGCTGCTTATATGGGCCTTGGCGTGCCCGAGCCCTGGCCACGCCTCCCTTCGAGAACCCTCTCGAAGCCCCCCTGCTGTCCACGTGCCCCCCGAGGTGCCCCCTAGGCCCCCGGACCCACAGGGGTCCAGTCACGTGTCCAACCGGGGTCACAGAGTCCAGAACCGGCCCTGACGTCATTCCCGCCTCCAGGCGGGATGACGTCATGTGTGTGTGTAGACCCGTGTGGTCGTGACGCTCCCCCGCATAGTGACGTCACACGTGTGCGTGTGTACACAGTCGTGATGCTACCATCACTACATATGTAATGGCAGAGATGAGGGATTTATAAAGTACACCCATAACCACAATCATATAAACAGAAATCTATTTAATCTAGATTTAAAGCTTTCGTGACTGCAATGATCCATACACTTTGGTTCTGTTTTATTTTTTACCTACGTGACTTTACCGAACAGAACCAAAGAATACCTATTTAATAGCAATATATTTGGGGGGACATTTAGAGCATATTTTAATATTGGGGGGGGGGGGGGGCCTTGCATCATTGCAGTCACTTCAAATCTAGAAATTTTGTATATTAAACTCGAGGCGTATACTCATGGACTCTCTCGTATGCCAATCTTTGAGGTGAGACAGGAGAGACCAAACCGGCGTGACAGATGGCACGTGTGATTCAGACGCAATAGAAACAGGACAGGCTGGTTGCACTCATCCTAGGTGCGTTCTCTCCACACCCAATGTGCTCATGTTCGCGCGAGTTGACCAGTTGCGAAATGTTCTCACCTCTGTCATTTGTTTAACATTTTCCCTCCCCAAGCGGGAAGGTGCACCATTCCCGGAGGTACTGCAATACCGGGTTGATGCGCGGAGTGGACGGAGCAAGCCCCTATTCCATCTCCCTGTCCCAAAAATCAATTTAATATAAGGTACCACAATGTGGTACGTATCAGATATTAAACTGATAAGAACAGATACTACACTTGATCTTAGCCAAAAGGCCGAGAAGCGATAAGTAAATGCTGTCGGCGATGGGGTACACATACCCACAGACTCTTTCTCTACGCTATGGGTTGAAACCGTGATTATCACAAAGCAGTTATTTCGCATAAAACACAGCCAATACACGGAAGATGAAAACATTCTAAAGAGCTTCATAATCATCTTTGTCGATGAAAAGCGGATTTTAAAATCGAAAATGTATAAGAACAGCACAATGTTAGAGTCCCGCGCAATGGCTTATGGGGAGACGTCATGAAACTAATCTACGCTATGGGTCGTTCCGTGGTGAAATACAAAACGGATATTTTAGATGTAACACAATCGAAATCGTGCCGTGCAAACATTGTATAAAGCTTTACATAATATATTTAAATTCGGATAGCTGATTTTTATTCAGAAAATATAAAATTATAGCAAATTATTATCATCCTGCGCAGACGCTCGTGTCATAGCCGATCTTGCTGCTTTTAGCCAATCAATCACATTATTACTCGATCCACGGATCGATTGATCGATCCAACTTTAACCCTCAACGTCCGAGGAGTCCGCGGCCTCGTGGACGCTTCTTGCAGCCGCTGCTTCTGCTGCGCCGGCCCTGCATGCCGCACGCGGTGTTAGAGAACGAGCGGCTTGGTTAATGTTGTTGCTGCTGCTGTTGTTGACGCCGCTGCTGCTGTTGCGGTTCTCCTTGCCCTGCCTCACTACCGGCTGCAGCCCAAGTCTCGCAGTGCTCCAAGACAGCTGCTGCTGCGCTTGATGGTGATGAAGGTGTTGCAGCTGCTGATGCAGCTGCTGATGCGTGGTGGTGGTTTTAAAGGCCCTGCGGGGGGGGGGAGCCGGTGCAGGATTGGGGGCTGCACTGAGACCCATCGTCGCACTCAGATGTCCGGGAGACGGACACCGTTGGTGGTGTTGTTGTTGTGCCGATGACTGGTACCAGCGGTGTCGGGATCGGCCTCTGTGGAGGAGGCTCGTGAAGGACGCTACTGGGCAGTTGGAGGCAGTCGCCCTCTAACAACAACGGAGGGCGGAGGAGCGACGCTCACAACAACGAGCGGAGCGCCGGGTGGCTAAAGCACAGCAGGTTGGCACAGTAGAGGGCACAGGTGGTGCATCAGCCAGTCATCTCAGTCAGTCGACCCGTGGCACTTGGGTCTGCCCCGTGACCTCCTGCCAGCGGGCGTTCGACACTTCACGTGGCCTCAAGGTGCACCTAGCCTGGCACAAGCGTTGTGGTCACGTCACCGCCACTTAGTGGCGAGTGGCGGCGGTTGTTGTTGCTGTCCATGAGGATGGTGGTGGTGGTGCTGGCGGTCAGTGGCGGCCCCATGCCCGCAGAGCCGCCGCCTCCGGGATTGTCCACTGATGGTGGACGAGCGCAGCATGGATGGAGGCGAGATGGACGACACGGAGGGGTGGAGGCTGGCCGTGGGAGGGCGAGTGGAGGGGGGTGACACTGTGGTGTCCACTACGGGACACGGGGACGCAAAGGGAGCGCGTGGCGAGCTGCATGGTGGGGCTAGGTGAGTCCACAAAGATAAATACACAAATATAAACTATACCCCTCGTCGCCTTGGGGCAAGTGCTGTTAGCGAGCACCAAAGAAGGCCGACACGGCGCACGAGTCGGAGGAGTCAAACCGCGCCCGACCGCCTTTGTCTCCCCAGTGGTGGTGTTTTTACACACCACACCAGGTGCTCGTTTGAGGCTGAGTCGACCTAGGGGAGGCCCACATGACCGGTTTTTGTCTGGTACGGAAACCGTCCCATCACTCAAGATGGCGATTCCCGCCAATCCACGCCTGGGTCTCGCGTTCCTTTACCAAGATGGCTCTACCTAGTTCCCTTGGCGCTGCGGCCTGTTGAACTGCCCTACCCGAGATGGCCGTGCCTATTGCCGTACGACATTCTCTTCGGGGGGGGGGGGGGCGGCCTTGTTTTCCCTTACGAACATGGCCATTCGTGCCTCGTTACGAGGGCTTCTTGGGTTCAGGGGGCTCCGTACCAACGATGGCCGTTCCCCTAATCTTGTAACAACAACAACAAAAAAGGCCGCCTGTACCGTTTCTGTGCGGTGAATCACAATCCTCGTGAATGAAGAAATTTCAGAGGCTATAGGACATCGGGAGGTGGTGGCACCACAACGGAGAACTGCCCAGATGAGACTGACGATGCTGAATGCCACCGTTAACCAGCACCACTGAGTGGACAGAGGCCCGCCCCTACAGCTCGTGGCTGTGACGTGCGGCGTCATCGGCGGACAGCGTGCGACGCTGGGGCAATTGAACAGAGTAATGAGATGTAATCGATAAAAATGGGTCAAATGGTAGTTGGGAGTTCTGTTAAGCCAGGAGAGGAGAGGGAGTGGCTGCGTAGTCAAATGTAGACGACGCTGTTACACCAGTGCTGCGGGGATTATTACGTTAAGTGAACCGATTTGAAGACGGTTTCAATTTTATTTTGCTTAGAGATAAGGATGGTGTCATTTGCAAGAGTAACTTGATTCACCAAAATGACAAATGCAAGAACATAAAGTACAACAATCATCTCAATGTAATGCAACATCGTGAGACAAAGAATGGAAAAGGGCACACTCATAAATCAATATAAACTAAAATACATTTCCTGAAACGAAAGTTAGCTTGAGATAAATTACTTTTAAAAAAACGTTAATCATTAACATTCGTTCAGTTACAGATACATCAAAATTGATTGAGGGTGCTTGTTGCACAGGCAGGTAGAAATCACATTCCCACGGGGCACCATGTGACCTCAGTGCACTGTTACATCACTGTGATGTCACCATTACATCATCACGAACACATGGGATGCCACGTGACTCCAGTGCACTGTTACATCACTGTGATGTCACATCCCCCCCACAAACTTAGTTGCTAATCTGGCAGCGTGAGGGTCAGACGTATTCTGTCTTTGCTACATGGGTTTTATGTTTGCAAGTTTTTCAACAAATCAAAGTCAGCCATCATCATCTTGAGAAGGACACATTTTTGGACGCTTTTTTATTCTTTACAACCACATCACCACAATGTCGAAGGCCAGGAAAAAGGGCTTCGTTAAGCATCTCAAGAACATCTTCTGTTGCTTACGCAGTGTTTCAGATGATGAGGTTTATGAGCCAGGCAGCTGTGTTCCGAGCTCTGTGAAAAGTCATGAGGCGAGCCCAGTGGCTAGCCATGAGGAGACGGAGGTGGCAAGTCTTGAGGCAAGCCTGCTAGATAATCATGAGATGGCCCAGGTGGCTAGCCATGAGGAGACCGAGGTGGCAAGTCTTGAGGCAAAATCGGAGGCTAACCATGAGATGGGCGCGGAGGCAAGCCGCGAGGTGGATGCAGTGGATAACCGTGAGATGAGCCTGGTGGCTAGCCAAGAATGGACAGAGATGGCAAGTCTTGAGGCGAGCACGGTAGAAATCTGTAATATTAGCTTGGTGGCTAGCCATGAGATGGGCACGGAGGCAAGCCGTGAGTTGGACCGAGTGGATAATCGTGAGATGAGCCAGGTGGCTAGCCATGAGAAGACCGAGGTGGCAAGTCATGAGGCAAGCCTGGTAGACAATCATGAGATGAGCCCGGAGGCAAGCCGCAAGGTGGACCTAGTATGGAACTGTGAGATTAGCTTCGTGGCTAGCCATGAGATGAGTCTTGTCACAGCTATGCGGCGAGCCTGGTGGCTATCCCTGAGGCTAGCTGTGAGAGCAGCTCAGTGCATAGCAATGAGATGAGTCTGGTGGTTAGACTTGAGACGAGCCCGGTGCCTAGCCAAGAGGCAAGTCAGATAGGTCACCATGGGCCCAACCCAATAGCGGACAGCCGTTCAAACCGGGAGGCAGACCATGGGCCAAGCGCAGCGGTAGATCGGGAGCTGAGCCCAGCTGAAGGGGATAAAGCAAACCCAGTGGCAAGCCACCAAGATGTTCGTGCTGCCAGCAATAAGGCTGCCGAACGCAAGTGCTGCCAAGCTACAAGCGACCGGGACAGTCCAGGTTGCGGGAGTGGTCAGGCTGCTGGTTGCAGGGAAGGCCAGGCAGAAAATCGCGGGTTCGGCCAGGCAGCCGGTCAAGGGAGCAGACGAAGACGCCGGGGTGGCCAAGCTGCCAGACGGAGGGGCTGCCAGCATTCCGCTCTCGGGGGCACGCAGGATCTTAGACACAAGGGTACCATTCCATCCACAGCGCCTGCCATCATCAGGCCTACCTCCCAGAAGCTAGCTGCCTGTCCTGTGCCAGATAAGATTGCTGTGGAAGGTAAGCTTGTACCAAAGTGACTCTGTGACCACTAGCTTGACTTTGGAATTCCCTCTCATGGTCTCTTTTTCCAAGTTCTTTTAACATTACTTTATCCCAGAAAAAGTGTTAACTCTTAGATATTATAACTTCACTGCTGGGTAATTGACGTTTCGGCCATTTGGCACTGTCAACAAAAACACGTCATTGTAGAGAAACTGCAATCTCATGGGCTTACTCTGTAGTAGGGTTGAGTTTCAGATGAAAGTTTGTTTGTCACATTTTTGCACAATGTACGTTGTTATATACTTATGTTTCATCGGGTTGGCAAAAGTGACACGAAGGCATGAGGATCCATTTATGGATGAAAATCAACGTGAATTACGGGATACATTGCAGCCCTTCCATAATCCTTCATTTAGTGGAAACATATAAAAAATGAAAATATCGGACAAGGACCAGGTTCTTGCCCTATCCGTTGAATATTGTTACCCTTACCACGTTTACAGAAAATTACGTAAAAAAACAGCTCACTGCAGGGTCACCTAGAGTTGAAAAATACATGGTTGTGAAAGGGTTAATTAAGAGCACCGCACAAAACAATGATATCACAAATTATGGCTTTACCACACAACTTTCGAGCCAGTCTCCGGAGTGCCTCGAGTGTTAACAGAAAAGTCCGTATGTGTTTTGTGCGCAGATAAGAACAATAATGGAGCTCCACGACTTGCGCCGGAATCGGGGGAAAACTTGAGCCTCACATGGCGGTGGAATGTATGCGAGGGTGCTGGCCTTGACAACATGGGGAACACCTGTTTCCTTAATGCCACCCTGCAGTGCCTTACTTACACAGCACCCCTGGCAAAATACCTGATCTCCAGACACCATTCAGGAAGAAGTGAGTTCCCAAAACACTTTGAAATAACAAAGACCTGAAAATAATTGTGTTTTGTGAAGATTTCCTGGCTGTGTGCTGCACCTACAGCTGAGCTGTGTGATTGGTGTTGTTCTGACAGCATGTGCCACCTCTGCTTCACTTCACAGGTACAGAGAATGGATTTTGTATAATGTGCATACTGGAGAGGCACACCATTGCAACATTCAGCTCCAAGGGCAAGGTCATCAAGCCCTTGGAAATCGTCCAAAACCTCAAACGTGAGTTCCGTCCAATACAACACAATTGTGCACACTCAATTGTGAACCTATTCATTGGGTGGCAGAGTGGGGCATTCTTTAAACTTTTTCCTCGTAACCTTGTGTCCAAACCGCTTATGACCTCCATCCATTTACCCACAGGGATCGCCAAACACCTGCAGTTTGGCAAACAGGAGGACGTGCATGAGTTCTTCTGCTACATCGTAGAAGCTCTCCACCTCTCCTGCCCAATCAACCACCACAAGTAAGTAGTGCACGTCCTAGGCCACTGGTTTCCAATCTGTGTTACCAAAAATTGACAACAAAGTTTGCAGAATAATCTTTAAATAAGTGTTTGGCTGCGAGGTAAAACATAGGGGTTAAAACAAAAAGGAGTAACTCTCCCATGTGCACACTTGATAAAGATGATGCATCTGTAAGTTACCGTATGTGTGATGTCATTCATTTCCAGGTGCAGGCCAGAAGAACATGTGGAGAAGACCTCGGTGGTTCACCACATCTTCACAGGGCAGCTGAGATCGACAGGTAGATGCCAGCTCCATGTGCAACATCATCTCTGCAAGTAGCGATCGCACCGAGTGTGACGACGCATGCTGCACAGTGCAGATCAACTCTACACTCTCTTACGCACGTACACAGCAAAAACACACAAATACAGAAATCCCCCTCAAGCCTTAACAGAATGCTGGAGCAATTGCTATTAGCAAGTACATATGTAGGCCAACATGGCACATGACAAGGTGGTGTGGCTAGCACCATGCCCGGCCACCTTCTGGTGGCTAGCACCAGTGCTGAAGTAACACAATGCAGCAGATACTCATTTGAGGCTGAATCGACCTGGGAGAAGCCAAGGTTCAGATGTTTAAAAACATTTTGGCCGTGAGCGAGGATCGAACTCAGTTCGCTGGGTTTGAAGTGCAGTGCCGCTAACCACTAAATTTCCACTCCCCGCACAATAGGAAAATGCACACGCACACAGACACAACAACCCATTTGATGAGATACAAACACAAGTATTAAAGCTTAACATCAACTTGCATGCATGCACGTAATTATTTTTGCAGCATTTAACTTGAAATTACCACGTGGCTCAGTGGGAGAGCCAGCAGCTCACAATTGGAAGGTTAGAAGCTTAAATTCAGATTGGGGGTTGACTCGCCACATCATCAATCCGGGGTCACTAAATTGAGTACCACGTTGTGGGGAAGTCAACAGTGGTTGTCCTATTAACAGACTCCCCCTTGCCATATGAATGAGGAGTGAGGACATTCTACCACTGCCTCAGGTTTATAAAGAGCAGATGCGCACTATCTCAATGCCCATTTGAGCAGGAAATTACTTATAATGTGAGTCAATATCACATGTGGTTGTATCTGAGTGGGTGATGCCTGGGGAATGATTGTGAGTTTGACTAGGGAACTTTATTTTATTCGAGTCTTCTAATCAGAATGCTAACCTCTAATTGCACGTGTGAATGTGTGCTCGTGGGTTTACTTGTGTTTCACAGTTGGAGTGCACGCAGTGTTCCTGCACCTCGGACAGATTCGAAAACTGCCTGGACATCAGTCTTCACATCAACGTAAGAAACGAGGAGGTCTCGATTTACTTAAATGGTACCTTTACTCGTGACGAGTTTTGGATTTAAAAGTTGGGGTTTATTATTTTCTCATTCTTAAGCAACACTTTTTGATCTTTTTCAGATCATGTACATTACACTAGTACTGTCACTCAAACACATTCAGTTTGCTGATCGTCTGGAATGCTGTACATCGGATGAATCTGAAAATTGGGAGCACGTCTTTAATTCCTGTCACCTTAAGACACTGTCCTCTTATGTCACACCACAGCCAGTACAACATAAGGACTCACTGTAAAAGTTGTTTCCAGTGTTCATTTCAAGCACTCGTTTGCCTTCACGTCGTTCTTTTTCACGGAATTCCCCAGACCTGCTGGCTGCTTTTTCAGATTTCACCAAGGCAGAGACACTGGATGAATACACTTGCCAAAGGTGAGCATGGCACGACGTCAGTGTTACGCGAGTCTGTCTACTTTGTATGGCCAACATATTTGTACAGTTTTGCACTGTGTGCTTACGCGAGCATCTCGGTCCTTAACTATGTTACCCTATTTGTATTTTTTATTTATTTTAAGATTGCATCTTATAGCTATTTTATATTCTATATTTATTCAATTGTATATACTTTAGCCCCTTGGTGTTAGACTTTGAACCCTTATTATAGTAAGACTTGTTTACCACTTATTTAAGATTTTAGATTTCTATATGATGAATGTATGCACCATCCTGCCAAAGTAAATTCCGTGTCTGTGTGAACTTTCATGGCGAATAAAACCCTTTCTGATTCTGATTATACTGACGCTTATGCTTTTTGGTGCGCAGGTGCTGTTGCAAGGTGAAGGCCACGAAGAGGATGAGCCTTCACCATCTCCCAAATGTCTTGGCCCTATCCATCAAGCGATTTGATCTGTTTGGAAACAAGATCAATCGGGTAATGTTTTGGTTAATATACATGTTTTTTTTAATTTCTTCAAAAATGTTGCCGTATTTGCTCAATTTTTTCATTGCTTGTTTTTGAGCTACTTCCTTTTTGAGTAATTTCTGTGAATTATTTCGCATTATTTCTTTTGCCACGGTAGTAACCCAGATCACTCGTGCAAATGTGACTTTTCACGGTCTCTCGAGCTCCGACCTTGTTAATCTACCTAAACTGGACGCTATGGTAGCTAAATGTTAACTACCTCCCCCAGTATACAGGAGGTTCGTGGGTTCGATCCCGATCCTAATGCCTGTATATTTGGAGTTTGCATGTTCTCCCTGTGGTCACGTGGAATTTTCTCCGGGTCCTCCGGTTGCTGCTAGAGTATTTGCCTGCTATAACTATTCACGTGATAAGCCACTTCATTGAGCTATCATTTGTGGCTAGATCGCTCCTAAAAAAGAGCTATATAGCTTAGTCAGCATTACCTGGTGAAGTAAAAAAAATAGCAGAACAAAAATGAGAATAAAAAACTAAACTCGACACTGCATCAATTCTTCTCTTCCCTCACCACTGCAGGATTGCCCGTACCTACAGCACCTGGACGTGCGGCCATTGATGTCGCAGCAGGAAGACGCAGACCCTATGGTGTACAGGTTATACTCGGTCCTTGTGCACTCTGGGAAATGCAGCACAGAGGGACATTACTACTGTTACAACAAGGTGATGCACTGCATTATCACACAAACACACGCCAATCATCCGTACGCGTAGATCCTTTAAATAATTCGATTCAGTGAAAAAACATCAAGACAATTCCTGCTCCTATGAGCCGTGAGGCGGTGCTCATCTCCCATTTATCGGCCTGAGCCAGTGGTGAAAATTCCCCGTGACCGAGGGAGAGCGTGTGCATAGAACAACCACTGATCACTTCACGAAAAATGTGTAGTCACTTTATTGACCCTGGATAGATGATGGACCAAGTGAAGTCTCAACCAGGATTTGAACTTTCAAATGTAATAAATTATTTTATGGATTATCGGTTCGATTACTCAACTTATGGGACGACACAATAATGGATGGAATAAGAGGGTCACCTCTGTTCCTGATGTGTCATTTTACGAATATATGGGGAGTTCAGGTGCAATTGGATAATCGTCGTAATTAATCTTCGATGTTTATTTGGATACAGATCCGCGATGGGAGATGGTTCCGGATGGACGACGACTTGGTGACGCCGGTCAACACCACGGTGGTCATGGAGAAACAGGCATACATCCTCTTCTACGTCAGGTGAGTAACCCACGAGTTGTATTTGTGGGTATGCCCACAACAAGTGTGGTCAATGTGGAAGAGTAGACCAAATACCATCCAGAGTTTGTCTCCTCGAGGATTTTCTGCCAGCAGTGGCATGAGCAATAAATTTCAGAGCCACGCCGTTATCATTATAATTTTTACCTAAGTTGGGGAGGTTGCCTTCCACCTTTGCTGTTAAGGCTCCATCTCTGTTGAACTCACGGGAAGTTCACCAGGTTGCGCTTTGGGCCAATGAAACTCATCTAGCGGTCGTTCCATGTGCTGTGTGCAGGTCCCCAGAGATGAAGGCCATACCCGTGTGCAGTCAAATCAACGACGGCCATGGGAAATGGCATCAAAAGAGGCGGCAGCGACGATCCCTGACCCCGGCGATCAACCGTCATCACTGATGGATGATACCACAAGGGCCGTGGTCAAGCTAATCATCGGCACGCGCCGCTGCCCCCTGCCACCGCCGCTGCCACCACTGCAAGGGCAATGCTCACCGGGTCCTGATGAATACCGCTGACACAACACAGCCCAGCAGCACCAGCACCACACCCACAGAGAAGATTATTACCATTGTAAATGTGTACATTGTATAGTTTTGTGAATACAAGAATACGTACTTTAAAAAAAAAAGTTTGAATCAATTTATTATTCTTGGGTATGATTCTGTATGTAGTTGGTAAGGCCATGTCCAGATCTAATAGCCAAGGGACATCCAAACAGCAACGTGAACCTATGAAATGGCTACTGCATTATTTCTGTGTTTAAAAAAGTCGTGAATTTTGATGGCTGTTTTGCCATGCAGTTCAGAAGTTCAATACCCACTTAATCCACGAGATGGCATCACTTCAGTGGTTGCAATATGGGGGCAAAAACAATGAATTGTTTGAGAAACATGTGAAATAAGTGGTGTTGTATGTATGTTGAATTTCTTTAGCATCGTATGTAGCCTAGTCGGGTGATCGGAGGTGCGGGTTATCAAGTAACACACTCATTAGGCGTATTTATCCGATGGTGCGACTAAACATACTACCTTACGTTGTACTGTTAGGGTCGCCGGCCCCCGGGATCTCCCCTGCCTGCGACCCTGTCCGCGAAGTCCCGACGCTCCCGGACTCTCCACTAGTGTGGGAGCTGCCGCCGCCGCACTCCTCCCCGGGCGGGGAAAGGTCGTCGCGCTCCTGTTCCCCCCCGTGTGCTGTTCCCCCCCGAGTCCGGGTTTCCGACCGGTGAGGCATCACACTCGACCGCCCTGGGGCCCGCTAGCGCTTCGCCGGCACCCAAACGCGACGCTCCCCGCCCGCGCAGTCCCACGCCCCAATCACACGCGGGTAACCGGGGGGTTAAAGGTCGGAGGGTAAGCGACGTCGTTCGTGCTCACTCCGACGATTGGGGGGATTGGATTAAACGGGTTTAAAGGGCTATGCGATGGGCATGCGCACGAGACGGGTATCCGCTCGCAACGCGGGAGTCCGCAGCCGACGGTTTGTAGCGCACACACTCCACGCGGCGCCGCTCCACACACGCGGCGACCACCGAGAACAGCAAGCGCACCCACGCTTCCACTCTCTTTCCACACCCTCGCAAAAACCACCACACCAGTCTGTTATGTAACGACCACCGCGACAGCAAGCGCACCCACGCTTCCGCAAAAACCACACCAGTCCGTTATGTAACCGCCGACGATTTATTCCACCGCGTCGGCGAGCCCTTATTTAACCGAGTCAGTCGGGATCAGCGGGGCAGGACCAATCTATCTCTCGATATTCGGCACTACACTCTACCTGTCCTTCTCCCCTTTACCCTCTCCGGTTTTGCTCTTAAGCTAAGTCCCAACTCCCTCTCTCTCTCTCTTACTCACGGTTCGTCATCACTGCCGTCTGGTCCTCGCGGCGCCTCGATACGTCCCACGGACGTTCGCGCGGCTGGACTCGGGAGTTGACGGGCCTGGGGGTTGACTCGAGTAGCCAGAGAACCTTTTTCCTTCGCCCTGACCCGCTTTATTCTTTCTACATCAAAGGGGCTACCTGGTGCCGACTCGCGGGCCAATCAGCTCGCTGGGATCACCCGCCAATCGGTAGGCCCATCTGTATCCCAGCATCCCCCGGGCCGTTGCTTTCAGCGACGTCCGCATCTAAATTTACCTGCTCAGCGGCCCTCCAGCCAGAGGGCGACCCTGCTTTCCCGCCGCTCGTGGCTCTGCTCTCCTACCTGCCTGCTGACCCGTGTGTGTTGTGTGTGCTGTCTACCCGCGGTGGCTCGGCAGCCCCGTCGTGACCATGTAATTACAACCAAAGTCACGGCGCCGCGGTGGGTGTTAGCGTCGGGGGAGACCGTCCAATTCCCTGGCTGCAGGAAACCGTGAAGATTATCCCTTTACGAGGGCTTCTGGGTGAAAACCTGTCGGCCAGGGTGTCTCCCCACGCGCTCTAATGGTGGGGGGAGTGCGTGCGTGTGTGTTCCGGTGGGGGGGGGTGGGGAGGTGGTGGGGTGGAGCAATGTTGGCCTCACCGCTCGGGGCGGCGAGATCGCAGGTGGGCCACCCGCCGATCGGCTCCGTGGCGGCGGCATCACATAGCCCCCCGAGGTGCCAGTCCCCGTCCCGGGTTGACTGGAGCACCTCGCCTGGGCCGCGCCCACGAGGTAGCGCTGCGGGGTCCGGGGGATCCGCCCGGATCTCGTGGCTGGCCTCGGGGGAGGTGGCTCCGTCCTCGGGGTTTCCTGCAGCGGTCTCCTTCTCCACTCCAGTGGCTCCTCCGGTCCCTCGGCACCTGGAGGCTGGGGGACAAACTCTGCAGCAGCGGGGTTTAAGGGGCGACGTCCCCGCCGTCCTCTGGCGGGGCCGGGACGCCTCGGGGCTGGGGGCCCGGCGGGGCCCATGTAGTGCGCGAGGCCCCCGAGCACGGGTGGCGCAGGGGCACCGGGATTTCGCGGTACTCGGGCAGCGAGGTTCTCCCCCGCCGGGGCTGCCCTCCATGGTTTTAAGCGGCGGACGTTAACCACCGTTTCTCGGCCCCTCTCTCCACCCTGGATTAATACCATCCAGGGAGAGATCTGCCGTACCACGGTCCAGGGTCCCCGCCAGTAGGTGGTCAGCTTCCCCACCTGTCCGGCCCCGACGCGAGGGGTGTGTAGCCACACCTTGGTGCCTGTCAAGAAAAGGGGGGGCTCCACGCGGGGTCGGGTGCTCTGTTCCTGTCGCTGATGCGCGGCCTCCCCTTGCGGGTAGGCCCGGTCCCGGACCCCTCGTAGGGTCTCCATCAGATGTTCCACGGGGCGACTCCCTTCCTCCGTTTGGGGTGGAGGAATGCCGAACAGCAAGTCTGCGGGTAGACGAGACTCACGACCAAACATCATTAGGAACGGGGTTTGTCCCGTCGATGTGTGCACCGTGGTGGCGTAGGCGAACAGGGCGTAGGGGAGGTGTTCGTCCCAATCCCGTTGGTTTGCGGCCGCCATACGCTTGAGCTTTCCGGCCAGAGTCTGATTCATACGTTCAACCATACCGTTCGCCTGGGGGTGGTACGCCGTGGTTCGGTCTTTCTGGATTCCGAACTCCCGGCACAGCGCCTGAAACAACTCGGCCTCGAACTCGCTACCCTGGTCGGTAAGGACTCGCTCCGGGATCCCGTGCTTAAGTACATAGTGCTCCACGAACGCCCGGGCTACTACCAGGGCCGTTTTATCGGGGATGGCCACCGCCACGGGGTAGCGGGTGAAGTATTCCACCGCTACGAGGATATAGCGGTTGCCCCGGTGGGATCGTGGGAACGGCCCCTGGAGATCGATGCCGACCAGCTGGTTAGTCCGACTGACGCGGAACGGCCTTAGGGGTACTTGGTATCGTGCCGGTTTCGGCCCGCACTGCTGACAAGCGCGGCAGCCCTGTACCCAGGCGGCCACATCTTGCGTCAATTTGGGCCAGAGATACTGGCGACGCAGAGTCTCCCGAGTGCGCCGTTCCCCGTCATGGCCCCCGAGCGGGTGGTCGTGTACCAGCCGTAGCAGCTGGGGTCGCACCTGGGCGGGAACACAGATGCACCCCGGCTGGCCGGCCTCGGTTAACTCCCGTACCACCCCGTTCTGCACACACAACCGGGCATACAAACCGCTCCAGGGCCCTGGTAGGGTGCTTTTCCCCTCCCCCTGGGCCGCTTCCACCGCCGCCAGATCCGGATCCCGCTGCTGGGTCTGCCTCAGCTGCTCGTCGCTCAGGCCCGGGAAGGCACAGCCGACGTCCTCCTGGATCCGTCCGATCGGGGCGGGGTGGTCCGCTGGGTCCCGAGTCGTGGGCCCTGCGCTCGCCGGGCGGCCGACTGGGTCCGCGCCTCCACCTGTGGGGGTCTCTGTGGCGCATACCGCACTCTCTCTCGCCGGGGGGGGGTTAGGTTCAGCGGGTTCCCGGGGGTCCGTTGCCTGTCGGCAACGTCCCCCCGTGAAGCACGGGCAGGCCTCCTCCGCCCTCGTCTCGGCACACACCGCGGGTCGCCGTGATAATGCGTCCGCGTTTGCATGCGTCCGCCCCGCCCGGTATTCGATCTGCAGGTTGTACTCCTGCAGCTGCGCCAGCCATTGGGCCATCTGCCCCCGCGGTTCCTTGAAGGTGAGGAGGAACTGCAGAGCATAATGGTCCGTGCGCACTCGACATTTCCTGCCGTATAAATACGGCCGAAACTGTTTACACGCGAAGATCACAGCGTACAATTCCTGACGGGTCACACAGTAGTTCAGCTCGGCCCCGCTCAGGGTCCGGCTGGCGTACGCAATCACCCGTTCCACCCCTTCCTGCACCTGCGACAACACCGCACCCAGCCCGCTGCTGCAGGCGTCGGTGTCCAAAATAAAGTCGGTGGTAAAATCGGGGAAAGCCAGTGTGGGGGTGTGTGTGAGGTGGTCTTTGAGGGTGGTGAAGGCCGTCTGGCAGGCCTCCGTCCACTGATAGGGGTTCTTGGGGGAAGTGAGTTGGGTGAGGGGGCGTGCAATCTTGCTGAATCCCTTTACAAATCGACGGTAATAGGTGGCGAGCCCCAAGAATGACCTTATCTCCGACAGGTTTCTTGGCTGTGGCCAATACACTACGGCGCGTACCTTGTCCGGATCGGTGCGCACCCCCGCCTCGCTGACGCGATGTCCGAGGTACCCCACCTCGCGCTGTGCGATGTAACACTTACGCGGCTTGAGCTTGAGATGAGCCGCTCGCAGTCGCTGGAACACCTCCCGTAACCTGGACCAGTGCTCAGACAGAGATCTACTGAACACGATCACATCATCCAGGTAAATCAGGCATTGCTCCCACTGCAAGCCCCGCATCACCAACTCCATCAGCCGCTGAAACGTCGCGGGCGCGTTGGTGAGCCCGAACGGGAGTACTCGAAACTCGAATAGTCCCATCGGGGTGGTGAATGCGGTTTTTGGCCGATCCTCCTCCGTCATCTCCACCTGCCAGTACCCGGACGCGAGATCGAGGGTGGAAAAATACCGCGCTCCGGCGAGGCTGTCAAAGGTGTCGTCGATGCGCGGTATGGGAAAGGCGTCGCCGAGGGTGACTGCGTTTAGTTTGCGGTAATCGATGCAAAACCGGGTTGATCCGTCCTTTTTTGTTACTAGCACCACCGGGGCAGACCAGGGGCTCGCCAAGGGCTGAATTATGTTATCGCGGAGCATGTCCCTGACCGCCTCTTTGATCTGGGCGCGTTCGGGTGCGCCCACGCGGTACGCGGGGAGTTTTATGGGTCGGGCGGCCCCGGTGTCGATTTGGTGCTTAACGAGATCTGTGCGACCCACGTCTGAATCGTGTTCGCTGAACACGTCGGCGTACTCCCGCAGTAACCCGCGTAGCTGATCGGCCTCTCCCTTGGGTAAATCTGCCCAAGGTACGTGTACCGCGTCAAGAAGGGGGGCGACCTCGGCGTGGGGAGTCGGGCCGACTCGCCAGGCCAGGTCTTGTTGGTCCTCGGGGCGACCGGGATCCTCCGCCCAGAGTGCGAATACCGAGTCGCTGGAGTGGCGCGCGTGTAGGGGGTGCACGGTGGCTACTGTGGTGCGCCGTCG